AAAAACGGCCTCTTCCATTCCTTCTCAATCTTTATATGAAAAAACAGGAATAAACGAAGGCTCACCTGAGCTGGAGGGGTTATGGCCAGAAAAATAACGTTCATCGAGATATTTTGCGACGTCACTTCTTCACCCGCTTCACGGCAAGTAAAGCCTCGCCGTGGCGCGATCCATAATTTCCAAAAGCTCATTATACGCAGGGCAGGAGAATTGGGAAGGCTCAGCCTCAGCTTCTTTGCCCTCCTCAGCTATTTCCTGCTTTTGCTGGGGTGATCCTAGCAGAGCACTGGCCCCTGAACCAGACAATGTTAATGAAATAACATCCTCCTCCAGTGGCTCACTCTCGTGCACAGCTAACGATCACGAAAGGGAAACCCTCTTCAAACTCATTGGCCAGATCCACCTGTGATCCCCACGAGCTCATTCCCTTCCGTGCCTCAGCAGCGGTGGGTCCTGAATCGCGGGAAGCAGATGGCTGCCCCTCTTTCCTCGAAAAGAGAGTCAAACGAGAGCGGAGCTTTTTCCCTTTTTTAAATTTTTTTTTTCTCTTGGAAAAAACGCTCGCAGTGCACGCCGATTGCCCCCTCGGAGACATCGAATGCGTGCTCTTTGCCCAAACAAAACAACGCATAGATCGTGTGTGCCATCAGATGTTAAACAACGTCAACACGGATGCACACATCCTTAAATGCTTTGCTAGTGCTCGCCATAATGAGATAAATAGAGATCGCTCTTACCACAGAAATGCACGCTTCAAACAAAACAGTCAATGAAGACGAAGAAGAGAATGATGTGTAGCTCCCGGCGCCTCTTTAGTCGCACCGGTAGTGACGTCATGGCTGTCGCCGGCCAACGAGTTGGTGTTTTTTCAATGTATGCTTCAGACACGGGTCACGATGAGGCATTCCCCATAGTGCCCCCTAGAGGACGCAGTTCGAAGTTCCCATGAAAGGGAACTTCTAGTAACTAAATTAAATCAACATTAGGTTTGAGCATCCTTTACGTTTAAAAGCAGCTTTTGCCCTTGTTGCACTTGCACGTATTTTTTTAGGTAGCTTTGCAGTTAGGTTTCTTGAAACATCTTGGAGACGTTGGCACAGTTCTTCTAGATTGAGTCTGTCTCAGTTTGTTCTGGTTCTTCATGTAATCTCAGACAGACTGATGATGATCAGATCAGATCTCTGTGTGCAGCACTGGCTGCTGTCAGACAAATATCTCAGTGGATTACTACAATTAATGGCAAAATAAATGTTTGAAAATGTATACTGATATTTCCTACTGACACACTACAGCAAAAGATAGAAACACA